CTTGGAGGTCAAAATCGTAAGGACCGCTATTTCGGGTATGTGCCACTGGTGGTTACGTACTACGAGGGACGCACAAGCCACGCCATAAGGAGCTTCGCCCCGAAAAGACAGCAAGACACCCTTCATGTGTGTATATTCATCCATATGAGAAGGCAGGGACCGTGTCACGTGTTTGACTGAAGCTCACAACGCGAAAGGACAGGTTGCGATAATGCGTGCTACTCAGAGGCGTGCCACGAGAGGGGCGCGAAGTCTGCCCTATAAATTTACCTAATTAGGGGGGAAGGCTGCGGCGCGAACCTTGTCACCCCTCGAAGTGTAACCCTGCGCACGGCTATGGTGATACTCATCCACTGCTAATCTTTTTCCCTGTGTGCAGGATAGATAATCTAACCGTCTTCTGCTTAAAGAAATAACAAAGTTAAAAATGAATCATGTTTAAATTCATAACTTGTACTCTGAAAAGTTATAACTCTAATGCCATTAATTTAAACATCGCTTCTTATACAGGGTTAAATAAAAGTCAATGTTTCACTTTTAAAATTTCGCGCAGAAGTCACCTATAGCGTTACGTCACGGATTTCAGATTGTATTATTTTGTATATTGGCGAAATTGGCTCAACAAAGCTTCCTGAAACCAGGTACGTTGTTCATAGCTCACTCAGAGGACAATATCATTCGTTTTTATTGGTTAGAAACAACGTATAATACCCAGCAGACACCTTCAATATATATGACGTCATGGCAATTGGTGCAGGAATTTTCAAGGTGGCGTCGCCACCTGAATTTCCTTTTTGTGCGTTTTTTTAAAGACAATAGTCTTTCTTGGGATTTCGACGGAAAAATTTTGGTGTGTCTGTTTGTCTGTCTGTCTGTCTGTGTCTGTCTGTCTGTCTGTCTGTCTGTCTGTCTGTCTGTCTGTCTGTCTGTCTGTCTGTCTGTACATTTGTCTGTTTGCCCACTCTAACGATACCTCAAACGGCCAAGCCTATCCGCAGCGCCCACCACTATTGCTCAAGGTTTAGCGTTCATAGCTGTGCGATTGTCAATTAAAAAGCAATTATTGCGCATATCTGAGGCACCACAACAACACTTCGATGTTTTCTATGTTTGCCTTTATACTAGAAGAGGCACACACAAGTAACTTCAAGGAATGTAGCATATAATCGCGCTGCGCTGATAGTGCAACGCGATGTTCAAAAAGGTGTTTCCAGCGCTTTGCTACGACGTCACGGTGGTGGCACCTGCCCGTCGCTTTGCGTTCTACACCTTATCACCTCCGATACTGGCGCACGTCTTTCTCCGCAGGCTGCAAGCCTTTGTTTTCGAAGATAACTGCCAGATGACACTGGTGTCTAACGTGCCTAGATGCGCTCGTTCGCATCCGCCACACGCTCGAGGCACTTTAACACAGCGTCTCCAGAATACCATTCACCGATTTTCTTGCGCAGAACATCAAATAAACGTTTTTCACTCTCTTCAGACGCAAGACTATCGTCTTTCGACGACATTTACAGTGTAACATGTAGATGCGGGCCATATTTTTTTTTTTTGCTTACCAAACGTCTTATAGCGGTAAGCGTGGTTATTTTAGATGCGAAGTAGTTTCGATTACAAACAACGTCACTCGTAAGAAACACTTTAGTAGATATAAGCATTTTATATGAGCACTTGTGAAATCAAACCTAATAGGATCAGCGAGCTGCGTCTTTCCACCCTGATCCCGACCAGGCGGTAGGTAATCGCGAGCTTACAACTCCTCCGCATTTTCGGCACACACTCCACGATCCCTATCGCCTCGACAGTGCACAGCACGCCACGTTCGCCATTACTATTCAGCGGGTGCCGGCCGCCGCCCGTCGGCTGTACGGTATATGCACCTAAAAAACGTTTGCACTGTTGTCACGTTCGGCGCCTCCGTTCTCTTTTTCCAGGTCGTGCGCGCATTGGGAGCGCGCTGTTACATCCAAAGTGGGTGCGATAAAATAACGCTACACTAAACAGCGCTCCACTCGTTCTGGCTCTCACGCGTGGACCGCGGTCCGAGCTTGTGTGTGGTGAGGCATATGGATGTTCCAGAACGCCACGGAGTATTCGGGGCGTATAGAGGGGGATATACATGGTCCTCTGGGGTCAGTCCTCCTGCAGCGTATATAGGCGTGCACGGGGTCACTCGGACAGACATGCTGTGCGGATCGATACCAGAGGCCACGCAACGAGCACTCTGACACAGTGCTCGGGATTGAGAAGAAGAAAAAAAATACATTGCCGCAGCTCTACGAAGGCGGAAACTAAACGACGCCTATATAGTAAACTGGCTTGTAGCATGGCGCGGAAACAGATGAAAACAAAGAAGCGAAATGGCGAATACAAGCGCTTATGTTAGTCCTGTACTTCTTTGTCCTAGTTTGTTTCCGTGCTATGATACATGCCATGTTTACGACGAACCAAGAGCGCTACCCTTATCGACATCTGTAGGTGTCATTTATGCTCCGAAGAAAATAACAAAAATGAACTGATCTCTGTATACACAGCACGAACGCAAAGTTTCTCGATGAATTCCATTTCACTATGAATACAGAGATATTTTAGACTGCTTGCGATGTAAAAACAGCACAAAAATATAGACAAGGACAGAGGAAGAGACGACATCGCTCTTAATATTGTAGGCTGCTTTTGTGGAACTGTGAGAGAGGGGGGGGGGGGTTCTGTTGGGTTTACACGCGGCACGACATGAAACATTCATGAATCGTGTGGCACACATAAAAGTCAAGGACGAAAAAGTGAGTACAGGACGAGTCTTGTTCGGCACCTCAAGTTTCCCGATGATATCACTACCAACAAGTCCTATTTTATACATCCTGCCAAGTCACGAAAGCTGGCTCCGGCGCTCGAAAACACCGAGGAGCGACGGGCACATGCAGTCAAGGCCAGTCCACCTCCCGTGTCTTTGCGTTTCAAACAAACAGTTACTCGAGTTTCGCTAGCCGTTCTTCCAGCACCCGCGTCGACGCCCGCTTCAACCGGGAAAAAGGCGTGTGCACCGCTGCTGCTTCGAATCCCATCAGGGTTCCCTTCGGGGAGATGGTCGGTCCACAATTCTTGTAATTGCGAGAGAGTAATATACTAATATGAGAAAAATCGCTATTCTCTATAGCGTGCCTTTAAGTTGCGCTCTTTCTTTTTACGTCTTTATTCTCAATTTGCAAAAATATAAAAATTAAAAACGTCACTCGTAAGAAACACTTTAGTATAGATATGAGTATTTTATATGAGCACTTGTGAAATCGAACCTAATAAGATCAGCGAGCTGCGTCTTTCCATGCTCTTTCCGACCAGGCGATAGGTAATCGCGAGCTTACAACTCCTCCGCATTTTCGGCACACGGTCCCTGTCACCTCGACAGTGCGCTGCACGCCACGTTCGCCATTACTATTCAGCGGGCGCCGGCCGCCGCCCGTCTGGTGAACGGTCCGCACCTAAAAAACGTTTGCACTGTTGTCACGTTCGGCGCCTCCGTTCCCTTTTTCCGGGTCGTGCGCGCATTGGGAGCGCGCTGTTACATCCAAAGTGGGTGCGATAAAATAACGCTACACTAAACGGCACCCTGCTAGATCTGGCTCTCACGCGTGGACCGCGGTCCGAGCTTGTCTGTGGTGAGGCATACGGATGTTCCAGAACGCGACGGAGTATTCGGGCCTATACAGAATACATGGTCCTCTGGGGTCAGTCCTCCTGCAGCGTATATAGGCGTGCACGCGGGGTCACTCGGACATACATGCTGTGCGGATCGATACCAGAGGCCACGCAACGAGCACTTTGACACAGTGCTCGGGATTGAGAAGAGGAAAAAAAATACATTGCCGCAGCTATACGAAGGCGGAAACCAAACGACGCCTATATAGTAAACTGGGCTGTAGCATGGCGCGGAAACAGATGAAAACAAAAAAGCGAATGGCGAACACAAGCGCTTATGTTAGTCCTGCACTTCTTTGCCCTAGTTTGTTTCGCGCTATGATACATGCCATGTTTACGACGAACCAAGAGCGCTACCCCCTTGTCGACATCTGTAGGTGTCATTTATGCTCTGAAGGAAATAACAAAAATGAACTGATCTCTGTATGCATAGCACGAACGCGAAGTTTCTCGGTGAATTCCATCTCACTGCGAATACAGAGATATTGTAGACTGCTATTGTGGAACTGAGAAAGGGAAAGGGGTGGGGGGCTGTTGGGTTTACACGGCACGACACGAAACATTCATGAATCTTGTGGCACACATAAAAGTCAAGGACAAAAAAGTGAGTACAGGACGAGTCTTTTTCGGCGCCTCGAGTTTCGCGACGATATCACTACCAACAAGTCCTATTTTACACATCCTGCCAAGTCACGAAAGCTGGCTCCGAGTTGTACGACTGCGGGTTCTCTTATTATTTCGCGTATACGGCGCTCGAAAACACCCGGGAGCGACGGGCACATGCAGTCAAGGCCAGTGACCGTGGCTGTGCAGTTGTCAGAATGTTCCCGTGCGGGCATTCATCACTTGACACCTCGAGGCCGTTAATCCCGTCCCTTTCATTGTCACTTCCACGCCGCTACAACCATCGCACGCCATACACAGACTGTGCGAGGCTGGGGAATTTCGGGGTTTGTAAGAGTCAGAAGTTGGACTTCTTTCTGGAGCAACAAATCATCCAGTGAGCGCAAGCAGAATGTGCGGGGAGCGTAATGTTGTTCTATGCTATAACATGTGTACGACGGATAGGTGATAGTAGACAGAAAGACCCCACAATTTATTTATTTATTTATTTTCCTTCCTTCCTTCCTTCCTTCCTTCCTTCCTTCCTTCCTTCCTTCCTTCCTTCCTTTTCTTCTTTCTTTCCTTCTTTCTTTCTTTCTTTCTTTCTTTCTTTCTTGTAAAAATTGATGTAGTCGGGGGTCTGCCCATACGACCGGAGCCAGCCAAAGTCTCAGGGAGATGTCGAGGAAAGGAGCTGGGGCTGTTAACAAGAACATTTATTTACAGAATTTACATTTTTAATATAGCGTGATTACGTGATTGATGGAAGCGTCATAGAAGCTCTCCATGGAAGCTTGATGGGAGCTTCAGGGAGCTTGTCGGGAGCGTCATGGCGCTCGCGTCTTATGCCCTGGTCTTCCCAGGATTCCCTGCAGGGAAAACAATTGAGGCCAGGACAGTCCAATGAAATTGCCATCTTCACCTCCACCCCCAATGATGAAGGTGAAACACCGCCTCCTTTCTAACCCAGGAAAGAGGGAAGGGGCACGCTCAGTTCGTCTCATGGCGAGGGCGAAAACACTGCACAATACAAGTTACGCATGACACAGCACAGCGCGATGATGTTGGGTCTTAAGTGAAGATCCACTTGTGTGTTCAGGTGCAACAAGCTTGATACAGGTCAGCGGTGCCGGGCAAGCCACGGCTTGTGAAAAACTGTCGCCATGAAGGCGAGGGAAACGTCCCCGCAGACGGATCTCACACGCTTGTCTCATTGTCCGGGGCACCTTGACGTACAAAGAGAACAGCTCTTCCTAATTCGTCAGCCGGCCAAGCGTGTCCAAAGGGTATTACGAGGGGCGCCGATGATGATGAAAAACATTTATTGTAAAAGAGAGAGGTACGGGGCCAAAGCATGACCCCGCTACATGGTCGGCGTCCTTAGTCCGGGACACCGCATGACGAGGCCCCTACTCGCGCCCGTCTCACCAGAGCCCGTTGAGACTCTAGTGATGAGCAGGGGCGCCGACGGCCCTGGAGAATTCGAAGAACGACTTTCGCTTTCCCGCCGCTCTTGGCGCCCCTCTAGGAGCGCTGACCCGGAAGAAATCAGGGCGGGCTCAGCCGCAATGTCTCACGCGTCCAAGCAACCCCAAGCAAGGGAGGCCGATCATAAGAAAATTCACTCCAGAGCTTCGCTACAACACGGTCGACGGGTGCTGATTGTAGGCAAGAAATTTTGAATGAACTATCCACCGGAACTAGTAAAGCCTGCATCTTGTGCATAGTCAGTGACGGAAACACCCAAGATCATTCGAGGATTCTGGGTACCACTATCACTATATACACGTCACAGGGCCCTTTAGTACTACACTTAGGGCAGGCTAAAAACAAACAAGCTCTCTTCAAGCAAAAGTTGCGAAACATCCACGTAAATATGTAGACCTCGCGCGCAAGGATGCACCACGCCAAGAAAGAGTATGTGCGCTTACCAAGGACAACATAGCTTCTTATTGGATGCGCGCGAGCGCCATTTCCAAGGCTCGTCCAAAGCTTGGAAATCCTAGTAAGCGTGCGCTACTTCAAGGTGTCCTCCACGGCTTGTGAAATCTAGCAATCAATATACCCTGCTTTCCGTGTTAACAGCTACCCGTCTCGTGTTTGACGTTCCGCTGGCATATAAATCATCTAGCTATTCTTCGGAGCGAATTCGTCAACACCGTACTTTAACACAAAGCACGCGTTTCCAATTCATTCCACGCGCCCTTTTCCATCCGTACTTCGCCTCGGTGCCGGAAATGCGAACAACGCGCTGACGAGCCCGGGTCGATAAAGGCCGGGCGCTGAGCAGGGAGGGTGGCGCCGTTACTCGACACCCCCGCCTCGCTTATTCTTTGGACGGCCGCACAGTCTGATCCACTTCCCGTCGCTGCGCCCCTTATTGTCTCGGGCGTTATCGCGCGACCTGCGGGTCACGTGTCCCGCTCGGCGCAGCCCACGTCGCCGTCATCCAAAACCGCGCGGGGTCGCTGACCTCGAAGCCTGGCCGCGGGTGCCACGCCCCAGCGAGTGAGCGTATAGAGTAGGATGTGTGTGTACCGGGGCTGCGACGGGCTCGCTGCTCTTGATTGTTCGCGACAATCGCCCCGTGACGGGAGAACTTCCCGCGCCGGTGCAATTAACCATCGCGCTTCATTCATTTTGTACGCCTAAAATGCTCGCCTTCAGGAAGCAGTATGAATCACGCGGATAGGGCGACAGGAGGACCACGCGAAAGGATTTGGGCTGGCTACCCTTGGTACACCTTTGTTTTTTTTTTTCTTAAATTGAAAGGCACCAAATTTTCGTTTTCAATTTCGCCGAATTTCTTGGTTCGCAAGAACTAGGAATTCGGAAATATAAACAATAATGATAAATCTGTGCGCTCCAAACCAACAGCTTGGGTATGCGAAAAGCCACATTGGGATCTGTCGCTCGTTTACACACACACACACACACACACACACACACACACACACACACACACACACACACACACACACACACACACACACACACACACACACACACACACACACACACACACGCACGCGCACACACACACACACACACACACACACAAAAGGCTGAATAGACGAATCATTTCGTCCGTAAATGTTTATTGGCATTCGTCGGTAACCTTCATCATGGTTGGATTGAATTCATCTCTTTGAATTCTAGAATAAGATAGTGTTGTGAATACGGACCAAAGCTTCCTTTTTTTCCCTTTTGCATTCCGTAGTGCAACAATGTGCAAGGCCACCCCTTCCAGGAGTCGAACTCCCAACCTCTTCTACGCAGCCACAAAATTTGGCGGTTTGTGTAAGCGGGTTAAGTACGGATATACATTTAAAGAGGTCAAGTTTTCTCGTGAATCACAAGACTACAGTTTTGTGGATGTGCGCGAGCCCATCCGTAAGCACACGAGTAGTTCTTTTTTTTTTTTCTATACAACTGATTTGAGAAGTGATTAAAATACCGCCACGTCTGTGTGACAGAAAGCAGTTGATAGAAAAAAAAAGGTTCGTAACCAATAACAACGCGATGCGATTGGAGCAGCTTTATTTAGGGGCGTGGTCAGCCTGCCCGGTAACAAGCACGGTCGGTTCTCTCCCTGTCTTTATGGCCCGGGGCCAACAAAGCGGTGAAAGCGCGAAGAGAAAATTGAGAAGCTGAAAGTCTGCCCGCAAACGAAACAAATGCAACGCGGCGGACGCTGTTTAACAATGCGACTCAGTCAGCTTTGACAGCGGCTTTTTCCTTCATATCTTTCTCTTACTACTCTCGTTCAAGAAAGGGCTCAGAAGACAAAGGCGCTTAACTACGGGAGAGAGGCGCGTTTGTGTCTAGGTTTACTACGACAACAACACAAAGCGGTCCACGGCCTTTTAGCAACTGTTCTCCGCTAAGCAAAAAAAAAATAATAATAATAAAAGCGCGTTACGTGACACGACTACGCAGCGACATGAAAGCCGTCATATTTTTTAAAGCGGTAGTGACCCGACTCGGTTAGAAAAGCGAACAAAAAAAAAAAGGAAAAAAAACGAAGAAAGATAATTCAGTGCTTATCGTTCTTTTAATCGCAATACCGTGTTACTTTTTGTTAAAAAAAAAGCAGGCTTGCTATATGATTCGTTTCTCCGCAGACGCAAGCCGTTCGCAAGACTCCCAAGTTCACACGTTAGACGAGAGCGCCGGTGGAAAGGAAAAGGAAAGCCAATGGAGCGCATAGCAATAAAGCGACAGTGGCAGCCCACTGCAGAGCATCAATTCGGCGAGAAGCTGCTTTCCATCTAAAAGCGTTTTTTTTTTTTTCTAAAGCACGTGACCTGAAAGAGTGCGGACTCTTCCAGATCTCTGCGCAGGAGCAAACGCACGCACAGTGTTCAGTATACAAGGCACAATCCACGTTTGGGTGAGCGTTGTTTGCCGCGCTCGCGAGGAGAAAAGAAAGAAGCATGTGTCCGCACACGGGTGCTATAGCATAGTCGCCGGCGATATTAGACCCGGTGGTGATGCATAGCAGCGCCTACATGGTCCAGAATCGATAAGCAGTCCTCCAAGGAGAGATTCCTTGCACGAATACCTTCTCGAAAGCGGTGAGCAAGCGTTATATGCATACTGGTGAAAGCAGACACTGGAATGGCGGTACGTTTAGAGGAGGCAAAAAAAAAAAAAAAAAAAACTGGCCATGTATTGGCGTGCTTCCCTGCAAATTTCGTCGATATACGATAGTTTCCTGTCGGCTTTCTTTCTTTCGCATTTTCAGCGCAGCCTAAAAGACACTATATAGAGTGTTAAGAATTACGTATTTATGTATTTTAGTAAAGGGACACACCACCCACTTACGTATCGATGTTGCGCCTCAAATATGCGTAATACTGGCTTTTTGATCGACAATTTTCACAAGCATGAACGCAGTTATCAGTTCAAGACGGCTGGGCGTAAGTGCTTAAACTTTGGCAGGATGGCTGAGTCGTGTGACAGACAAATGCACAGACATACAAACAGACAGACCAAAATTTCTGCGTTTATGTATCCCAAGAAAAACTATTGTCTTTGAAAACATTGATATGGCTGATGTATATGTGGGGTTTAACGTCCCAGAGCAACTGTATATATGTCTGTTTGGTTTTGGGACGTTAAACCCCACAAATCAAATCAATCCACTCTAGCTCAATGAAAAAGAAAACTAACTTCCTCAGGAGCAAATAACAGATGCGTCGATTAACAATGGGCAATACCCGCGCCGCAAATACGTGGGAAGATATATTCTTATCGTGGGCTGTCGCTTTGCGGACCGCGCGTTGTTGTCTTTGTGCCCAATACGCATACTCGCAATGGGCACTGTGTAGGAATCGAGCTTGTTTGGCAAACGGTGAAGTCCAGCCGATGCATCTAGCACACGGGACGGCATCGGACTTGGGAAACGATATACAGTCGCGTGCTGTATACCCGCTGGCGCGAAGAAGATGGATGAACGCGCCGTTGGCTCCGTGACGAGCTTTCTTGACAACGAGCCACGCTTCCGCCACAGCTCGGCTTCAGGGTCGGCGGGCGCGCGACGAACTCGGTTGTGTGGGATGTCGCGAACTTTCCTACATATATTGGTATACCGCAGAGCAGCATGACGTGGTGAATGCGAGTGCTCCAGAAGCATGCAGAGCATTTCTGCGAGAGCTATAAGGTTGTGTCTGGTCTGTGAGCAAAAAGGTCGAAAGCATAGTGAACGGCGAGTATGGCTTTCGAAAAAGCTGAGTGAGCTGATAGGCAGCATGCGCAGACAATTTCATACAGCGTAACGCATAAGAATAATTGTCGGATCCTATGTCCCAAAAGCGCGATATGATTATACGAGACGTCGTAGTGGAAAGCTCCGGGAATTTCTTAC